GAGAAGTGATTTATAAGAGCAGTATTGTGGGGATTTTTGTGGCAAAGTGTGCACTGTGCTCTGAAGGTGTTTTGTTGTCCAAAGAGGGCTTTTTTGAAAGTGTATTTTTAATCTCTAATTAAAGTGTGGCTGAAAGTGCATCTCTAGAAGTAAGAGTAGGATTAAAACTTAGTTAGATTTTATGAAGTAATTAGAATGGCATTCATAAAGCCTGTGGCCAGATCAAAAATGCAGTTTTATCCAAAGCACATCTGCTGTATCTTTTCTTATTAAAGCACTTTGACCTTCTACTGTGAACAACAGAAGGTTTGGCAGGTGATATGATGTGCTCTAATCACAAAAAAGTAGGAAAGAGTTGCAATAACCATGGAGTTCATGGAGTTTTGCTTCCAGAGAGCTTGTTATGATTTTCACTTGTCCCTATAAAAACTTTGCACGGGGAGCAGATTTTGTGTGAGCTCAGAAAGAAAACAACCTAAATGGTCATGTATGCACATCCCTTTCCTCCATAGCCAACCTGGGCTCAGGCTTATCCTAAATTTGCCTATTTTTTTACCAATCTTTTATCTAGATTAGACAGGAAAAAAACCTTTTACACTTGAAGACTTGTTTCATATTTTTTTTTCTGTCAAAGACACTACACTTTCCCACTAGCTTTGCCTTGTTAAGATCCTCCCTAAAACTCCACAGTGGCTGTGAACACAGTTATTTCATGCTTTCTGCAAGCAGGCCAAAGCCAGCACTAGCTTGTTGCTAAATGATGATGCCAGAGGTTGTCCCTGCATCTCCTGTCTGCAGTGTCATCCCAAAATACACTTCTCTGCAGAAGGTGGCAGGTGGTCACCTGGAGCTGTGAGAGGAGCAGATGGAATCAGCAGCTGGAAGGGCAGCAGTTGTATTAAATGGTGGACAGGCTTCTGTGAATTTTCTGTAGTGCCTGTGAAGAAGAGGAGATGATTCTTCTGTTAGTTTTTTAGCATCAAAGCTTGGTGGGTGGTGGGGTTGCTTCCAGCTGTCTCCTGCAGAGATCTCATGCTTGGGCTGATTTTCATCTGCCTCTGACACATGGCCCAGCTGTGGACAAAAGCAGAAATTAGCTTCCCCAAGTTAGAAAATTAAATACTTCCAGTAAAGCAGAGAGAAATTATGTGTCTACAGGAGAGACTCTTGAGCAGAGTAGTCACAGGTACCCTGACACAGGGCATGGGCTCTCCCCACTCTGTTCCCTCTGTGTGTTGCCAGCACAGTTGCATTTGTGAGCATGGGTTCTAATCTCTCCTTTATAGGTCAAACCTTTACTAATGTCAGCTCTCCACTCCTTGGGCATCCCTAAAATTTCCTTTTGAAACATCTTCCAGAGGCCCTCTGAAAGGAATGAAAAGCTGTCCTGACAAATCAGATCTCTGAGAGAATATTGCCAAGGGGAAACCCCAGACCGTGAGACACATCTGAAGAAAATATGGATGGTTTTCAAAAGAAAATGTGGGGTTTATTTTCTTTCTGTAAAGGTAAGATATCCAACTAAGTAGGACCCTAAATAATGTGGTATTAAGACATTGCAAGGAAAACATACTGATTTACTTTCTTTTTTATGCAAAGGTTCTTACATGAGAGCTTTGCTTGGCAGCTTAGCTTTCCATGGAAATAGGGTGTGGTGACAGGACAAAGTTTCCTTGTCTTTTCCAAGTATTTATCTGACCCAGGGGGTCAAGTGCAGGCCTTAGACAACAACACATACCCACCCTTGTCAAAGCATGGAGGGATGGAGCCCAGCTGTGCATGTGGGGGCTGCTTCTGCTGCAGAGCCCTCTGCTAAAGGTAAGGGAGAGACACCACTGCTGCTCGAAGGCTTCAAGGATTACAAAAAGGCCTTGGTTTCCTTTAAAACAGTTGCCTCTGATTTGAGTCCCATTACATTTTCATCCATTACCCTGGGCTGCAGGAAATGGCCTGTCTTGCATTCACCCTGGAGCAAAGATCTGTGCAGAGACACCTCAAGAAGGGCCCAGCTGTATTTACCTGTATTTACCTGGAGCATGAAGATGCTCTCAGTTCATGTCCTGCAGCTCCAGGCTGCCCAAAACACACCTTTCCATGCCTTTGCCTGAACTAAGGCAGCAGAGGCTCAGCCTGCAGTTAAAAGTGTTGCTGGTCATGTTGGACTGCTCGAGGGTGGCTTTGACTCCGATGACAGCAGTGGGAAATCAGAGGGACTGAGCATGTTTAGTGTAGGGGATGGCTTGGTTTGGGTTTGGTTGTTTTCCTACCATCTACCTGATTCCTTTTGTAGCCCAGCCTCCTGTCACCTTTTACTGAGAAATGTCCCAAGATGTTCTGGCTGTTCTCTTGGTAGTTACAGAATTAAGCAGGGTGGGACCTCCTCTGCTGCTGCAGGTGTTTGTAGAGCTGCAGACACAGCTGTGCTGCACAGAGATGTCTCTGCTGTCATTTCGGAGGTGTCAGCACCAGCCCTGGGCTTGGGCCAGCTACTCTGTGCCATTCCAGGTGCTGTGGGATTGTGCCCAGGCAGGAGCACCCCTGAGAAGTTCCCTGCTGTGTGGTGGTGCCCATTTCCCAAAGTTTCATTTATGGAGAGTGGCTGCCCCTGCAAGGATACTGCCTTGGCAGCTCTGCTGCCCTGAGAAATCCCATCTGGCAGTGGGATGAGCAAACACAGGGTTTTACTCCATTGTTAGCAGTTCTTGTGAATGAAACACCCTGCTGAAGAACTTTAAATTCAGGTCCTTGTATTTAAAAGAGAATTCTTTCATTTTATTCCTCTGTAGTCAAGAAAGTCAAAATAGTCCACGCCCTGCTCTCTGCCTTCCAGGCTCTATGTGAATGGAGAGGGAAGGACAGAAACTACTTGAAACAGACACTAATGGCACCAAAACGTGACAGAACCCACTCTGTTTGAACCCTGTTTGAAGTCCTTGGGATCTGGCTTTGGGATGGCTTTCTGCCATCCTCACTCAGATCTAGCTGCAAGCACTGTTTTCCAGCCCTCATCTGTAATTTAGGCTCCACCACAAAGGATGTGTGAAAGCAAAATAAGAGGGCTGTGCTTCCAGAAGTGACTTCAGATGTGTCCAATTTCCATAGAGATCAGGGAAGGGGATAATTTGCCTCCAATACAAAGTGCATTGGAAGCACGACACGAGCCTTGGTTAACAGGTGACCACAGGGACATTGATCAGTGTTTGATTTGTTTTGCTGTCATAGAAATGTTTTTCTGTGCTGCTCTGAACACAGGTTTGTTTTTTTTCTATTTTACCTTTTTTTTAAATTTTCTTTAAAATTAGAGACTCGTCCCAGGTATAGAGAGCTGAGTTATTAATACCTCAGATACCAAATTCACCAGGACTGTGCTTGTTTATTTTCCAAAGCTTTATCTTATAAATTTATGTCTACCAATACATGTCTGTCTTTGGAAGGGAGCACAGTGGCTTATTATGATATTTATTTTTAAATTATTTAAAAATTAAGATGTTTTCAGAGGTGTAAACTGACTTGTCCTCTTTCTCTGGCCTCATCTAAGAAATTAGGGGTATAATATTTATATGGCAAAAGGGCAAGGATTAAACATCACTCTTTTGAGCCTACCATATTTTTCTGACAGCAGGACTTTCCCAGAATTTTTGTTCTATGTATTGGGGCAGGTGCATAGGTGTGAAAAAAAATAAATAATATGGAAAAAAAAAATATAGAGTACATTCTGAGATTGTTATCTTGGACAAAGTGAATTTCTGTACAGTCTCTGCAACTGCTGAATAAACCCAGCTGCAGAACCTCATAGAAGTTGTTAATCTCTCATTCTGTTTATGCTTTGATCAAAAACTTTCATTGTATATTCAGAGGTAATATCTTATATAGCAGTGATAATGAATGTACAGCACTGTATGTTAAATCATTCCTACAGGTTTAGAGCTGGTTACCTTTAGAGGACAGGCTGGGTTTTTGAAGGCTTTGTTTAGCATCTGGAAGCAGCTCGGGGTGAAGGGAGTTTGTTTTGCCAGCAGCACTGTCATTAACATACAATCTGCTGGAAAATGTTTGGCTGCTCAAAAATAAATTCCAGCATATAGCTGTGGTGAAGTGGACCTGCATCATTTGTATGCATTCAAAGCTGTTCTCTTGATTATTGATTAAGGCACTGTTCTGTGAAAGTCAAGTTTGCAACAAGAGAACAGTCGTGCTTGCAGGATTTCTTGCATTGGAGAAACACTATAGAATTCTTTCTCAAGTTTCCAAAGGTGAAACTGAGGCAGGACATGTTGACAGGGTTTTCATGGGTGGTCAGTGGGATCTACAGAATTAGATGAGACAGCTGATTGTGTAGAAGCCAGAGAGAGACACAGAAAGCAGTTTGCAGGCCTTTTCTAAAGGTGTTAAAAATCAGCCCTTGCAGTTTTAATAAACATGTCTGAGCTGGCCTGCAGAAAATGCATTTCCAGCTCAGACTGGAAGGACCAGACACAGGTTCAGCCCAGCCAGTGCCTGACTAGGTCATGGAAATCATAAAGCTGTGCTGGCAGTGCTGAGGAGCAGGATTCAGGCAGGGATGCAGCCCTGATGCTCCTGCAGCACTCAGAGTTTCAGACCCACTGCACACAGAGGCTCTCACAGGCTGCTGCAAACCCTCATCCTTCTGAGAGTGAGCAGCCCATCTTTTCTCTTGCTCTGTCCTCCAAGTGATCCAAACTCCTGGAAAAAAAAAAAAGGATGAATTTTTATTTTGTTATTCACTCTCTTTCGCTTTCTCTGTACTACAGAAAAGGAAAAAAATACTATGAAAGCAAATGTTTCTCATTTTGGGGGGGTCAAAATTGCTTTAAAAAGTAGTTGCAAAGAGTATTTCACATTTTTGCCTTACAAGTTAATCTTCTATCTCTTCACACTTTCTAAAACTGTAAAATACACATCGTTGTGTAGACAGAGATGAAATATATTAGTTCATATTTTCCCAAAGCTTCTTATTTTTTTTTTAAACAGGTGTAAGTTTGGTTTCTAATTCATTGGTAACTAAGCAGTCTGTTGAGGCTTTAAATGATCAGCCAGACCCAAATCTCATCTTTCAGCAGTCTGATGTGTTCATGTGAAGGAACTCTCTGGAGTTATGTCAGGAGACTTTCTTGCATCTCAAATCCGAGTGTGAATAGGGAAGCAGTGACTGGAGAGGACTGAGAGCATTCAGTGTGGCCTGCTGTGTCTCAGGAACATCCCACATTTCCTTGGTAGGAAGTATTTCTGCTGCTTGTCTTGCCAGGGCAGTGCATCCATTTATTAAATGATGGCAAATCCTCGATGCCTTGCATTGATAGCAAACATCACACCATGAACAGCCGGACATCAGCAGGGCCTGGCAGATGGGAGGTGCCAGCCAGGCTGGCTGGGGGCACACAGTGGGCTCCTGGGCACTGCACAGAGCTGCCCTGGGGTTTAACCTTCCCCTGGACAGGGGATTGTCTCCTGGTCAGTGACAGACGTGGGCATGGTTCTCTGCCCCTTGATCTGGGAGGGGAACCACGAGGGAAGGAGAGTTCTGGAGTCAGGAGAGGGAAGCATCAGTTCTGGGTTAGGCAGGGGATGGTTAAGCTGGATAGCTAAAATAAGATCCAGCCCAGGGGTCCTGTTGACAGCACTCGGGAAAATTCCCAGGGACAGATTCCAGCTAACCCCAGTGCAAACTACCCACCATAACTGCAAACCTCGCTGTTAGCAACTCAAGATGTGTGCAGAGCACTCAGCCCTCCTGTCTCCTCTGTTTTTCCTCAGATGTTTAATTTAAATAGCCCTTTCTTCTTATACGGATCTGGTTCCACATGTTCCCGTGTTAAAGTCAACAAAAGGTTCTAAATAAATCCCTGGTGCAACTGTGAGAGCTTCACTGAACCTGGTGAAAACTGTGCTGAGCTACAGAGTGGTGACTTCATTGGAAACTGCAGCAGGAGGAGGAAGCTTGGATGGAAAAAGGTCTGGTTTTGACTTCTTCTCTTCGGGCTGAGTATCCAGAGATCCCAAGAACACTTAATCCATGTTAATTTCTCATGTGAGCTATTTCAAGTGAAGGAATCTAAACTTTGGAAATGAAGTTTCATAATATGTTGTGACTCTTCCTCTTTGTTGTTTTCCAAGTGTTTAGAGAGTGTGCTTACTGGGCTTTGCTCAGTGGAGCACACACAGCACTGGCTACAATAGGTGTAAGGTGGCTCTCACCACCTTAGACAGAAAGCAGGTATGTGTTTGTACACACATTGTACATGACATTGCTGGGGCTAAGCATAGAAACACGTGCTTGTTTTGTTTAGACATGCTTTTTATCCACAGGATTTGTGGAATTCTTTCCAGGTGTTGCTCCTCCCTGAGCTTACAGTTGTTGAATTTCAAATATTGGCAATCGATGACAGAGCCTTCAATTTCTTTTCAAGGTCAGTCTGTGCTCCTGCTCCTAGGAAATCTCTGAAAAAAAGGTTTCTGGGCTATAATCTCCAAAGGTGAAAGTCCAGTGGTTTTAATGGAGTTGTGTCAGCAGGGAACTTGCCTGTTGGATTTGGCAGAGCAATGGAGACAGCCTGATGGCAGTGACTTCTGTTCTTGTCCCTGCAGAGGGGAATGAGGACATGGATAATCCTCTTTAAAAAGGACTGGAGCTCTCTCTGGATTCCTCACACAGAATCTCACTATGAGTTTTCATGCTGCATCTGTATTTCTCTGTAGCAAAATAAAAAAAATAAAAAATAATATTAGTTGAAGTCTGCATAACTGAAGTCGCTTAAAAAAATAAACTCCCACAAAGTCACTGGTTGGGACTCAGGAACACGAGCAGGGATTGATCAAAGGCTTGGGATCTTGTGTCCCAGGGTCCTCCTGTCTCTCCCTGCTGCAGAAACATCAGAAACAGCAGGTTAAATATCTGTTATTCTGCTGTAATTCTAGCAGCTTGTAGGGCCTTCTGAATACCCATGCCTTCCTCTTGGGGGAAATACAATGGCCTTTGTTGTGTCTCTTTATGAAATACTCCAGCTTATTCCAATACAATTTTTATGAAATAAAACTAGACTGCAGCCCAGTTTAATACATCCATGTCAGCTCCTGCCTGCAGGAGCCCAAATACATGTTTTGCATATAGTTCACATGCACATAAAATCACACATGCACCTTGTATGGAGACTTTGTGGATATCCATAATGTGCATGTGTTTGCCTGTATAAAATACTTGAAAAAATAAATGAGAATATGGTTTTGTATATACTTATTCTGTAATACTGGTAGGTTCTAAGAAGGATAAACCAAATAAAAATTACCTCACAAAATGTCTGGAAAAGATGTCATTTAAATATCTTCAGTGTCCCACAGGATTTAAAGAAAAGCCAAATGATGTGGTCACCTTGCACAAGAGATCCAGAAAATTGGAGATTTTATAGTCCCCATAAGCTGTAAGTTAATATCAATAGAGTCACACACACTTCCCATGCACATTTGTGTGTGCTCTCCTCCAAACTTCATTCTGAAGACTCAGAGCTTCTCCAGCTTCACTTTAAGTTTTCTTCTGAATACTGAGAGGGTCTAAATGAACTTTGTCTATGTTAATTGAAATAAAGTATATTTTTCCTCAGCTCCTGGATGGTTATAGGCAGCAAACTGAAAACCCTTCTTGTAGGAGGGACAGGGCAAAAGAGCAAAGAGTGCTTGCCTCGTGTTCATGTGCACTAATTGCTGCTCTGCAATCCCATGAAAATTCTCAAGGCAGGAACCCCAACCCCATTAATGTTCCATGCAACCAGCAACAGAAGGGTGCAGCAAAACATCAGCTGCAACCTGGGGGCATGGCCAGTGGCTTTATGTGAGTGAAAGGAGGTAGGCTCAGTGATGTTTCTGCTGCCTAGAAATTATTTGTGCCAAATACATTTTCATTAATGTTTCTTTTTTTAAAAAAAAATATGCAGGGAAAAAAAAAAGTAAGATTGGGGGCCTTTCAAAAAGCTGCCTTCACTTTTCTTTTTTATCCCAACTGAAGAATATTGACTTGCTCCAGCTAGAGGCTGGGAGCTGTGAATGCTTATTGCTGCATTTTCTGATAAGCTAAATCTGCTAATGGTAGGTAACACTGGGAGAAAATTAAACACTACTTCAGTGAGAAATATAAACTCTAGCCACTAACTGTATTAGCAAACACTGAATGATAATAGGCTCCCATGCTAAAGCATCAAATAAGCTTTCAGCAAGGAGTGTTTATTGCAAATCAGGACCACAATTTTGTAATGGAAAAGTACATGAAGATTTTTTTTTTAATTAATAGAATAATATAGTTATGCCTTAAATGAAAAAAAAAATTTTACATATGTTTATTTTTACAGGAAAAACTAAGTGCAAAGTAAGTTTGGACAAGTGTGTTCAAGAGGAAAGGAGGCTTTTGTATGAACAAACAAAATCCCCCTAAAAAATTCTTATTTCTTGAGTTCCTGAATGACTGTTGGAGAGCAGAGTCTGGTAAGTGCTTGGATGAACCCTTCCCATAAGGAGGAGGGAGGAGAAAACAGATGCCTGTTTGAGCAGAAGCGTGAGAAGTGTGTAGAGGGGGTCAGAGAGTGTCAGGACAGAGAAGAAGATGAGATGCACCAAGACACACCAAGACACACCACCTGTCTGAAGCAGCAGAACAGATTGGAAAGCACGGGTGGGGGGGACAAAGGCATGCTGATACTTGGTAATTTAAACAAAGGCTATGGTGTGAGGAGCCAAAATAACAGGCAAGTCAAGCAACTGGGGAGAGGTGAAGTGTTTGACAGCTACTTTGTTCAGCTTAACAGAGCCAGAGTGGAGTGAGAGCTTTACAGGGGCAGTGCTGCTGAGCTCAGAGCCACAGCTCAGCTCTGCCCATCCTGCTCTGTCCATCAGCACCTGTGTGAGTGTCACCCCTTGGACAGCCTGCTTCTGCCAGGAGCCAGGCTTTGCTTCAGACTTTCCAGCTGGAGGTGCTTGGAAGGCCCCAGTCTCTCTCAGCAGGAATGGTGACTCTCTCAAGCTGTGTGTCCACATTTAGGAGTTCAGCTTCAAGGCAGGAGATTCACTTTTCAGTCCCTGTGCTGAGCAGCCTTGTTGAGCTCGTGGAGATCTGCCTCCAGTGTGAGCTGTGCTAGGCAGGAGGAAGAGCAAACTGCAGGGACACACATGGATCACAAACCACACTGACAGCACTGCCTGGGGACAGGAGAGGAGCTCAGGGATATTGCTTCTCCTTTTCTGCCTGTTTAAACGTGCCCACGAGGCTCATAGCTTCTGTTGTACAACAAAGAGCTGGGATTGTGGATGACTCCACGTTCTTTAAAGGTTCTTTAAGTCCAGTTTAACATCCTGGCCTGACTGACTGAGGAACTAGCTGATAGCCAGGATGAACCTTCTGTCTGTTTAAATGCTTGTGGCTCTGGTGTGTAATGTAATACCATGCTGTCCTCTGGGACATCGTGGGAAAATGTAAAAACCAATTCCATAGGCATGTTTACAATATTAGAAATGCAGCTTGATCAGGTTGGGCAGGCTTGGATTCTTTTTATAGTAGGACAAGTAAAACAAGACTGCTCCTCAAACTCTTTGGATTAAGGTTTTCTTTCGCATGAGTAAATATTTATGGAACTTATATTTAATGGTTTCTTCACTGCAGAAGGATAGCTTATTTTACTTTTTAATGAGGTTTCTACAAACTGAGACAGCTTGACCCAACTTTCTCCTCATTTAACCCTGTCTGCCAGGGTAAAGAAAAAAAAATTCCAAAATCCACTTCAGTTCTGGTAGTCTCAATCGCCTAAAAAGGTTTATATAGATACTTAGGTAGATGTTCATTCAATTACACACCTGCCTTTTGCTATATAAAATAAAATTGCATGTTCCCTGTATGCAACAGGAAATACTTTCCCAGAAGTTGCCCAGCCAGGACCAACTTCTATTTTACTGCTCTTGAAGAAAGGATGATGCCCAAGTGTTTCTTTTGCCAGATTATTAGTGATTTATAGGGGAAATATAACTTCAGACACCTGAACCCCAGGGTGCCCAAAGGCCAGCTGTGATGGCAGGGGGACACGTGGCAGCTGTGTCCCTGCAGAGGCAGCAGGAGCAGCTCTGCTCCCAGAGCCCTTTCCATGCCTGTGAGATTCCCCTCCACAGGGGAACCTCAGGCACAGCCTCAGTTCTCCCTGCCTGTCGGGAAGCAGTTTGCAGAGTGCTGGGATCTTGGTCCTGTAAGGTGTCCCAAGCTATGAGCACACGGACTCTGTCCCAGGGAAAGCGTGAAGAAAAGGGACACGTGGAGGAAATGCAGCCAAGTCTGAGCTTGGCTCCTTTGGGGTGAGCAGAAACGAGTCACAGGATCCTCACACACTTACTTCCCTGGTCATGAACAGTGAAATTAGACATTTGTCTGGAGGCAAGAAAGGAAAAACGATCCTCAGTGCCCTGGGCATGGGACCGTTCTGGTCCTGAAAAGCTTTAAGAGGTTCCTCTTCATTCAGTCCCAGTTACTTCTGCCTATCTGAACACAAACTTCTGCAGCCTCTTCCCAGGCTTCTTGTTCCTGAAACAAAGCCGTTTCCATTTAAAGCTCTCCAAGCCCCATCCACCAGAAGCTTTTCTTTGACCTGCTGGGTGTGGACAGTTTCCCCAGAGCACACTGTCCTGCCCACCCTCCCTTCACCAGACATGGCCAACAATTAAGCTAATTAAGCTATATGCAGGATTAAGCCTATAGGGCCAGATTCACAAAAGGACTTTGGTGTTTGAAATGGGAATTAAGCTGATTATCAGCATATCACTCTCATTATGCAGTCTTTGAAACCTTCATAGCCTTGTGCTTGTGCACATTTCCTCTCGGGAAGTTCCTGTGTGCTCAGAGAGGGAACAGAATTCCCTTTATGCTCTTCCCTTAGTGGGAACTGCCCCAGGGTGAGTCCTGGGCTGGGGGTAGGCAGCCCCCACCTCACCCATGCAGTCCTTAGGATCCATGAAAAGCTATCTTCCCCAATCCCTGCAACAGGCTCCCCTTGCTCCATGTCACAGGAAAGCCTCTTTGAACCGTCTCGTTTCACACCTTTATGTACGAAGTCGTCAGAGAACAAAAGACATTTCTGTTTGGAAAGGCTCACAGAGCTTTTCTTTCATGTGTGACAGATGCTTTCAGAACCCGTTTGAGAGAATCTGCATAATTGATACACAACACCAGTGACCCAGCCTGAATGACTTAAAGTCTATTTTCATCTCGGGTGGTTCAGAAGCAGCCAGTGGAATTTGTAAGGCTCCATTAAGATGTTCAGGTCTTCAGGCTCTCTGGCAATGGGGACCATGTGAATACCTGAGGACAAATACCCTGGGTTTCATTAGCAAGATAAAATCCACAGGGTGAAACATGGGAAATCAAATGCAATAAGGAAGTGATTGTGAGCTGGTTATGCATAATGTCAGCCACAGCGGGCTGAGGAATAATGAAAGGAGGGAAAAATGATGAGCTCTAAACTGCAACAATTGCCCTGTGAGCCTTGACTGCTGCAAGACATTTCCTTCTCTCTGTCAGTCCTAGAAAGGCTTAGCAAGATTTTTAATAAAAAGCCAACATGGAAATTTTTTTTGACACGTACACCATTCAAAGTGTTGTTTCTGTCAGTTGTGTGCTGTGCTATGAACCCCTCCTCGGATTTCTGTCTTCATCAGGTATCAAGGCTCAGCCCAAAATGAGGAGAACTCACGTGGGTTAGTCTCCTCTTACTGGACAGAAAGTATTTGAATTGCCCAGGCTGTAAGCTTGGTGATTCTGGTCAAGACTTGTGAAGAGGCTGAAAGTTTCCCAAGGATGAGATTTAGATAAACACTGCTTCATTTTAAACTCATTTTGCAGCTCATTACTTTGCTTATCAGTGGCTTCCTTTTTTATTCTCTGATTTTTTTGATTTTTTTTCTCATTCCCTAAACCCCATGAATTACTATAGTGACCATGCTTTGGTTTCCATGGTATGTAGGACTGTGGCCCTCATGGGCTGCTGGAGCTTTACTTGGGATCCACAACAGTCTGGCTGCCAGAGGGGCCCCAGCAGCAGAGACTTCAGCAATGTTCAGTAGGGGCTGAGTGTTCTGAAAGTAATACATCCAGCTGTACAATAATCATCTCCAGTACAGTGGGTTTATCCCATGTTCAGCTCTCCCTGAGTCACCACAAATCATTGGATCTGTTGCTCTCTGTGTCACTGTGTTCCATTTAAATTTGGGATAAAGTGTAGTATTACTTCACCTCTCAGGAGCTCTGCACTCATGA